GCTGGTGGTGGTGGTGTTATGGTGTGGGGAATATTTTCTTGGCACTCTTTGGGCCCCTTGGTACCAATTGAGCATCGTTGCAACGCCACAGACTACCTGAGTATTGTTGCTGACCATGTCCATCCCTTTATGACCACAATGTACCCAACTTCTGATGGCTACTTTCAGCAGGATAATGCACCATGTCATAAAGCTGGAATCATCTCAGACTGGTTTCTTGAACATGACAATGAGTTCACTGTACTCAAATGGCCTCCACAGTCACCAGATCTCAATCCAATAGAGCATCTTTGGGATGTGGTGGAACAGGAGATTTGCATCATGGATGTGCAGTCGACAAATCTGCGCCAACTGTGGGATGCCATCATGTCAATATGGACCAAACTCTCTGAGGAATGCTTCCAGCACCTTGTTGAATCTATGCCACGAAGAATTGAGGCAGTTCTGAAGGCAAAAGGGGGTCCAACCCGTTACTAGCATGGTGTACCTAATAAAGTGGCCGGTGAGGGTAGTGTCCAATGTGTGTAGAGTGTATACTGTCTTGTCTTGTATGTAATTGTCCTAATTATGTTGTGCTGTGTATGTTTTTTGCTCAATGTATGTAGCAGCACAGAGGGACTGTCCTCCGAGACAAGTTTCTCCTATGGGAGACCTAATAAAAAGTTAAATCAAATCAAATCAAATCACATCACACCAGCAGTGCGCTCCGCTCAAATCTCTGCCGCACCAGAAGCCCACTCAGGCCATTAGTCGAGTCTGATTAACTGCACCCTTTGTTAGTTTTTGCCAAATATAGAAACCGCATTCACCCCTGATTTTAATGGAATGGACGAACATGTACAAGAACGGTAAAAGATACCTGATGACTACATTCAGAGCCTCATGCTCCACAACGACCGACTGCACTTCCCCTTTGCTCCAAACGCTCTCCAGCATGCTCAGTATACATGGCACCTGAGCAGATTGATCACAAAATGAGTACGGTGCCTCATGAGAAAGGACCGTCATTGTTTGTGTCCGTGCTAACCTTTTTGCCCACCATAGCGGCAGGGAAGTTCTGTTTGGAGATGACCCATAAGGCTCTGGTGCAAGTGTTCTTCTCCGGCGATTTGGCCACAAGGGAGCAAAGTGCGGAGAGCATTTCTGTGGTGAACGTTTCTGGAAAACAGGAATAAACAATACAGCGGTGCCTTTACTTACACTTTTAACTTGTTCCGTGACCACATCCTAACTAAAAACACTTGTATCTCAAATTAGATTTCCCGACTGAAATGACTGCCAGAGGCATATTTTTCAATTTTCTTTTCATACTCCACACCTTCAATCCCAGGTACTTATTGATATTTTTTCCTTTGTTTATGAAAAGTTAAGGGTTTAAAAAAAGGTCTGAAAATGGCTGACACTGAATTAGTTGAGGATGATTAGGGTAACAATTTTTAAAAACTGAATGCATGTTTTACCAAGTAAAAACTAAACATACCAGACACTCCAGAGACAACGTGCGAATGATAGACACAAAAGCCCAAAGCTTGTAGAGCGGCTTGGCTCAGCTCAGCATGCTGACTGCTTACATGACTCTGTCAATAACACCAAGTGGCAGCAGTTCACTAACAAGCGTAGCTGTCGAAGGAGAGCTTTCCGGCTTTAAAATAAAGACTTACCAAGATGGCATTACCCAAGCGAGAAAAGTGCTTTGTCACGGCAGGAAGAAACTGGCGGCCTTCCTCTCCACTGAGCCGACTAAAGTAAATAAAGAAATGCAAATGAAATAAAACCCACATAAATATATGTATTAAAAAAGGAAAGAAAACAAAAGTGGAAAGAGAATCGATGAACAAGAAATCGGCGAGACCTACTTGGCAATGGTGAGGTAGGCGTCAGTCTGCTCAGGGCATCCAGCGGCGCTGTCCTCTAGACACTCCAGCAAGGGGACGATGCTGAAGTTGTTCGGAGGCTCCGCCGACGCCATCATCGTTAATTGCTGCACAGCCTTCATGAAGAGAATGGGGGTTGGGGGAGGAGGGCAGGGGGAATACTTATTTTGTAACAAACTAAAATGAGATGTTTTGCTATTTCATGTTTTTATGATGTCATAAACCGGTGTTGCCAGTGAAAGTAAAAAGGAAAATGTTTTATGTTTGCCATCCTTGATAACTTGTGTAGATGCACTTCCGAAAGGCTACAACCACTTTGTTACGGGGTGAAGGTCCTCCCAAATTTAATGTTTAGTTGTCATGAAAGGATCTTTGAATGCTGACTGTATTTTAGGGCTAGATGATTAATCAAAATTTCAATCGGGATTTTGATTTGGGCTTCTCTTCAAAATGTCAGAATTCATCCCAAAAAACGATTCATGTGCAAAACGGTGCGATGCATTTACAAGTTCCCGATGTAAAAGGATCATTTGATTATAAACTCTTTCTACCTAAAATGACTGCAGTCACTTAACCAAGATTTGCAGTGTGATGAGGCACACACAGAATCATTTAATATAATAATATAGTGCAGTATATAATTGTTCAAATGTGGAAAGATTTTCAAACAAAATATAAAAGCAGAAAACAGCGTCAAGGATGCATTAATCAGTGAGTGTCAATAATGCCTCCAATTTTTTAGAAGTCAATCTGTGCACATTCTGGTGACTTTAGATGGGTACAAGGCTCTCTATAACACAAAACTATTGAAACTATAGTCCGCATTAGGTGGTATAAAATCATTTAAAGAAAATGTGTAGTAAAACATTGAATTCTTTTAATCCGCAATTTTAAAAAAACACTGAACATGAAAACATCAACATTACAGTAATTGGGGAAACAAATTTCATTTATTAAGCATATATTTCTATTAGAATTTTACTTCTTTGGCTTTTTAGGACTGAAAGGAAAAGCCTTAAGCATGGCCATGTTTTTTTCCCCCCTGAAATGCATGCTAATTGAGTAGTGTCATTCTTTCTAGCAGTGTCTTGAGCCTCTGGTTGGATGCGTGGATCTGAATGAAGTCGTGGTAACCTAATTCACGACCCGATCAGAACCGTGAATTTCTTGATCCGTTGCAACATTAATTGTCTAAGCATTCATCTCCATGTCAATGCCTCGCCAATGTAATGTGTCGCAGGACAATTATTTAGTTTTACTTGAGAGTGGTTAACATTTTCACACCTGTGTAAGCAACAACACTGTTATTTTTTTGTTGTCAGAAATACTAAATCAAAACAAATTTTCATCATCAAGGTAATTTTGGATCACGGATGGAATTCCATTTCAAGTCAAAGTGTCCAACTCTGATTTAATGTCAATATCTAATTTCACAATTTCAACGTACATTTCAAGTGGCACCCATGCTGTCTGTGTTTAGGCTGACAGACCACACAACATAATCGGCATGGGCAGTCGTTTAAGGTCGAAACTCCACAAGTATCAACACAAGGCAGTGACAAATGATCCAGAAATAGACAACGATAAATTAATATTCTGAATATTAAACGGTGCATATTGTTCAGTTGGCCTGGACTGGCTCTTGCCCCCTCTTAATTAAAATGACAATAACCTCAACACTACATCACTGGTTGGTATTGGCTATTTCCCTTATTTAAAGGACCACATAAAACCACAAATAAATCACATACATCAGAGTAAAATGTGAAGATGCCTTCACGATATCCAGCGCTGTAAACAAAGTAATATCAATCTGATATGATCGACACAAAACATTTTGTGCGGGTCCATGTATGTATGTATGTATGTATGTATGTATGTATGTGTCACTAATTTCCCCTCATCGTAAAATGGATTACAAATTTGCAGCGACCTGGCGCACTTGAATTTTGAGATTTGCGACAAAACTAAAAGTTAATTAGCTCGCGCAAGTTAGCACAGCTAGCAAGAACGCAACAAACATGCGCCAGATTGACGAACAACTACAGCTGGCTTACCTACACGTGTTTTATAGAACACGAACGTACACCAAATAAGAAAAAAAAAAACAACACATTACAACACGACACAAAATTATACAAAACAACACGGGTACATACGCCACACACGGAGCACAGAACCGCCGCGCAGCTCGGGCTCCTAAAGCGAAGTTAGCCGCAGAAATGACGCACCGCCAAAAGCAGCAAGGACAGCAGCCGACCGCTTCGAGATTTCAGCGCCCAATGTGCTTCAAGTGTCGGCTTGTTTTGTTAAACGACACTCGGTCTGCTCTTTCGTATAAATTACACACCGCGTTGTTGTCCTACTGTCCCGCGAAATAGCTGGCGCCAAAGCACCACGCATACGTCAAAATTACCTTTGACCCCTGTATGTCACATCCTGTTCCACCTCCGAGGAGGATCAGGCTGCGTTTCCAGTGCAATAAAATCAACCTTTTTTTGTTTCCCCTTCCAATGCTATTTATTCATTTATCATCGTACAGTTGTATCACAGTTTACAATACATTATATATTTTATTCATTTCATAAATTGGGAATAACATAGAAGTCTTGACGTCAAAGAGGTACTCACTAGTGTTTAAACAGCATTTGTATTTAGCAGAAATATGTGTTTAATACTCCGGATGCAATTATTATTGATCTTGGTCAGTGGAAATAGTCAGTATAGTTCTGTGACAACGCAGATGCATTCATGGCAAAGTACTGTAACTGGAAGCCCCCTGCAGTGACTGAAGCATCCGAGAGGAACTTCAGCGTCATCACGTTTCCTGGAAAGAAAAAATTCACAAGACAAATGGTATTCATTTTCTTCACCCATCCTTAATTTTTTTCCAACATCTTACCCTTTTTTGGGTCATCCCAATTGCATTGTTCACATTGGCCAATTTAGACTCTACCAAAATGTTTTTTTGTTGATTTTTTTTTGGAGGAACGAGTACCCATAGAAAATTCATACAGGAAAATGAAGCTTAATGCAAATCCACACAGGAAGACCATACGTGAAAATTCAACTCTGAACCTTAAAATTCTGAGTAGACGTGGTAACCACCCGTCTACGGTGTCGCCTGTTTCTTTTTGTTTTGTTTGGAAATCCAGTAAACTAATAGTGGCTCACCTGTGCTGATTATGTCTTGGGGTAGATAATCACCACAAAATCTGGGGGAAAAAAACGTTTAAAGGTGATTTGATGTAACTGTGTTGGAGGTCAGGTGACTTTGGGCACCCCAGTGATCCCTCACCTTCCAGCAAAGCCGGACACATCGTCATAACTGTCATACACTTCTAGGTAGTCAGCCAAGCAGGCCGTGTCATCCTCCACATCAAACTCTACAAAATGGAGGAGGATCTTCTGGCCAAAACGAGCTCTGATGTGCCAGTAGCAGATCTGGTCATCCTGGTATTTGTCTGGAAAACCAGGAGACTGGATGAATCTCTGCTGGTCAGTCAGAATGCCGCCACACTCTTTGGCTGGAAGACACATAAGATAATAATGATTGGACACTGCTTAAAATGACAAACCATGCCTTTGATTAAGGTCTTTTAAGCATTTAAAAATCTAGTTCACTGTCAGTAATTTTAGAAAGCTACTTTTCATTTGATTTATGATGCTTTTTAAATGGGGGAGGCACAGTGTTCAATTGGTTAGCACGTCTGCCTCACAGGAATGCAGAGTTCGATTCCGGCTCCGGCTGTTCTGAGTGGAGTTGTCATGTTATTCCCATGCCTGCGTGGGTTTTCTCCGGGTACTCCGGTTTACTTCCACATTCCTTTCACATGCCATGCAAAACTCAAAATTGTCCCTAGGTGTGATTGTGAGCGCGAATGGTTGTTTGTCTACGTGTGCCCTCCGAATGGCTAGCAACCAGTTCAGGATGTACCCCGCCTCATGCCCGAAGACAGCTGGGATGGGCTCCAGCAGACCCACGACCCTTGTGTGGGTAGGCGGATTAGAAAATGGATGGATGGATGTTCTTAATGTCTGTTCCTTTGGTAATTCTTAGGAAGCTACTTTTGTTCTCTTTGGTTTGCCTTTGAATGTCTTTAGTTGTTTGTTTGTAAATGCTTTTCAGTTGTTGTGCTTTTGGTTGTGTGAACCACATTGAGTTGTGTCTTAAATATGCTGTATGACTAATACTGCCTTGCCTTGCCTATGAATGTCATAACTTTGTAACGGTAACATTTTTGACGTACTGTTTTACATGCCCCCGCATGACCTGACAATTTGGTGGCTGAAAGTAGACTCAACTTAGACCAGCTCAAAGCAGATGTAAAACAACCACACCACCGAGTGGTATGAAGCATTTTTTTTCTCTTTTTGTGCTCTTTTAAATTTAAAAACTGCATTCTACTACACTGCAATGTCGATTTAGATTCAATTAATTTTTCAGCCTTACACAATGTCATATTGTGCCTTGGGCACATTATAAAGAAGTCCAAAAGAAATAAATATTCCTTTGATTGTCTGACGAACTGCTTAGCCACGATTGATTCTTTCTTCTCTCGAGCATTTTCGTGACAAATCCTCAAGACAGGCAGATGGTCGACAGTCATGACTACTTGAAACGCTCCTCTGTGGACATCTTATTCATGGATGCCGTCACGTCATGCAGGTTTAGCCTGGAGGTAAGAGCGATAAGTCACAGGGAGTAAACCAGATTGCGGTCTCCATTCCAGACTCTGTCGTCCCATCCTGGAGTGATTAAGCTCCTTTGTGTCGTCACTCGTGTTTGACATGGAGCATTGGTGGTCGGCAGAGCTTCAGACTGGATGACTGGTCTTTAAGTGTGGTTACTCCCAACCGCCACCATCATCATAATCATCATTATCATCACCACAGTCACCACAGTCACCTACCACTGGGAACCATGACAAAGCTTCACTTGCTCAATGATGCGAGACGATTTCAACATAATGCTGGATTTTGAGCTTCCATCTGATTTAGTGCAAGATGCAGGTTTTAAAAGCATATATATATATATATATATATATATATATATATATATATAAGAATATACTCAAACTAATTTTTAAGTTACTCTAATCAGGGGATTGATAACAAGAAAATGCTTACAATATCTCTTTTATTTATGACAAATGAGAATTTGAAATTTTGGTACAGATTTTAGCAATCGTCAAGGAAGTTGTCATCTTTGATTTGCTTTCGTGGGCCGCATAAAATGATGAGGCAGGCCAGATCTCATCGTCAACAATGAGTGGGCCAAAATATCTCCACAGAGATGTGAAAGACTCATTAAAGTTATCAAAATAAAACTCTTTATTTTGGTTGTTGCTGCCGAGGGTTTCCCAACCAGTTATTAGTTTTGAATTTTGTGTTTACTTGTGTTGTCTTCGGCTAACATTTAAATTTGTTTGACAGGGGGAAATATTTACGTGAGACAAAAAAAAAAAAAAAAAAGCAAAATCAGGAAGGGAGCAAGGATGTTTTCTACCGCTGTTAATCTGAATCATCAAGTGATATGACTCAAACTCCACTTTTGCAATATAGTCGAACAAAACGAACATACATGTTTTCGCTAAACATGTACGTTATTTAAACAGCAATTTATAGTCCTAAATCAAGGTTTGTTGACTATGGGAGGAAGCCTAACTGAAAGAAATGAAAGTAGAATATGCAACCCATCCGAAAAAAAAAAAAAATCTGCTTCTTTTGCTCAGTCCTACAGCAGGTGATTTCTACTGCCCACTGTTGGTAGCATCAAGAACTTAAGCAACCTACTCACTGGTTGGGTTGTAGCAGTACACATCCCATCTCTCGCTTTTGTTGATCCTGTAGCCGTAGTCGATGATGCCCACCTTTCCAAAGCCGCAGTTGGCACCAGCTTTTACGATGGGGTAGCCAACGCGCCCATGATCAAACCATCCTGCAGCGCACACATGGAAACCTGAACAAGAAAAATTCCAATGCGTCAAATTGCGTTATTCTTTCCTCCGTTCAACGGCCCACCATTTCCTCCGCCACACCCCCATTGACATGAACAAAGCCTCCTAATGACTACCATGAGACTTTTTTGGTGGGTTTGCTTGTTCTGGTTTCTCTTACTGGTGAGGTCAAGTGTTGCTGTTACAAAAAGCAGACCAATGCCAAAACAGGCCTGATAAATTGGAGACCTCCCGCTTAGATTGCTGAAGGGGAAAGTCTCCTGGAGCTGCTCACAGGTGATTAGTTGGGAGAGGTTGTGACCCCTGAGAGAAAAGAGGCTGGACTCAGTCCCAGTGCCATGAGTGCAGTGATGTCACCCAACCAAGATGGTGTTAACACCCTTTTACAATACACCGGGGATGTCATGCAACAGCAACCAAAGTGTCCAATGGAAATGAATTTTTCAAGCATTATTTTGCTCTGACCTCCAGCCCACAATAAATTGCAGTATATAATTGGAGGATATAATTGTTACGCTTGCTTATTGACTAAACATCTGTCAGAAAGGTGTTATTGTTCATTTCTTTGCAGTGAGCAAATTCAGTAGGGATGAAATAATTATTTCCCACTTAGGATGTACAAATTCTTCTGCATGATGGTGACGCATCTAATTGGAGGTAAATTAGAGTTAGAATCTAAACAAAGATGAATCCCAGATTCGGGTGTACATGTTTTCCAGACCTATTTGTCGAGCGGCCTCCAGCTCCTCATAAGTGGCCATCCTTCCTCCCTCGTACTTGCACATGGCTTTGGCCTCCTTGTACGTCAACTGATACCTCCCATTGCGAGACTCCCGGTGGTACACTCCAGCTGCTTGTTCTGTCAAAAGAAAGATCACCACAGCTGAAAACGTAATGTAACGTCATTAATCCATACCCTAATGGAAGATTTCCTCGAGCAAGCAAGCGCAGATTAACAAAATGGTGGTAAGGCAGAGGTCAATCATTGCCCTACAGGTCAATGAAAAAAATTGGCACACCCAAGCCACACCCACTAGATAATAGATGTACTGTACTCGATACCTGTATATAACAAAAATAAGGCAAGTAATGGGTGTGTTTTTGTCTACGTCATTGACAGTTTAGAGAAAAGGTCAGCAGCTCCGAGGACTACATGAATAGCCCGACATTCTGATTCCTTAAGACAAGTTCCCGGAGTGACCATTTGCAAATGTAACCACTTCCAGAGATTTATACAAATGACGTGTTGCTTATTGATATGCTGTTTCCTACCTTGTTAAATCATTGATTATCCTGAGTAATTTACATGATCGGTGTATTCACTAGATGGCCATTATTAATTACACTGCTCAACAAATTTTTACAAAATTAAAAAAAATGAGAAATGCATGTCAACTTTTCTCAATTTTTTTTCTGGATCTGCCCTATTTTTTTCTGTAGCTTATCGGTGTTTCATATTATTATTATTATTATTATTATTATTAATGTATTAGCAATGTAATTTGTCGAAAAAAAATGCAGGTGGCATGATCGACTGTGACGTGCATAGTGTAGATTTCTTTGTAATAGAATATTAAACAATTTTTTTGTGAATACTGTAAATAGTTAGAGTGCATATTGGTTAAGAACAACCCCGCCGGTCAAGAACTTATGTTGATCGATCAATCAGCCATAAAAGGCCCTGGTCAGGAATCACTTTACATACTTTTCCACAAAAATTGACCAATCACAATCGGTGGCCGATCGATCAGAGCACCCCTATTAATTACTGCACAAATAATTGCAATATATTTTGTAATATGATTATCTGTACCAAAAAAAAAAGTGTGCACTGTAAAATTTACTGGTAAGCATGTCTGCCTTGGAGTACAGAGGTCCAGGGTTCAAATCTGGACCTCCTGTGTGTTTGTTTGCAAGTTCTCCCAGTGCGTGTGAGTTTTCCTTGGGTTCTCCAGTTTCCTCCCACATTCCAAAAACATGCAAGGTAGGTTAAGCGAACACTCCATATTGACCCTAATTGTGATTGTGAGTGTGAATGTTTGTTTGTCTTTGTGTGCCTTGCATTGATTGCCTGGCAATCAGTTCAGGGTGTATGCCGCCTACTGCCCGAAGACAGCTGGGATAGGCTCCAGCATGCCCTTGACCCTCGTGAGAAAAATCGGTATAAATAATAGATGGATGGACGGTTTCTCCATTTTTTTCACAGTACAATTCTGGTAACCGTAGCTAGTGGCATTGAAAATGGAAGGATGGATGTACCAATCTTGCACACAAGCTCATGATACAAGCAGCAAAAAACCGAAGTAAAAAGCAACATTTTGAATTGCAAAGAACGAAGAGTCTTTTCTGCCGTTATGCTTTTTAGATATGATTTGAATGAGTGAGCTGTTGATCGTGGTGAGCAGAATGGCGTCAGCCGTCCGATTGGCTATTAGCAAGCAAAATGTTGTCTTTAGATTTGTTCCTGCTTGATTATGAATGTGTTGGGCATTTTTCTGTTTTCGGAAAACCTGACTGTGGTTGGTGATCAAGAATGATGGACGCATGCACGGCCATCCCTGGCCACCCCTCACTGAGCTGTTGGGTCACGCTGGCCACCCCGCTGAAAAATTTCTGGCTACGCCCCTGGCCTTCGACAACTTAAGATATAAGACAATTTGGAGCTTTCGATGAACTTGACTAGAAAAAAATGACAAGTTGAACCGAGAGCCTTCAGGAACAGGATTATTAAATGCACCAGCTTGGAAGTTCAATTCCTCCTTTCTGACAGATAAATGACATATCGAAGAAAGAAAAAAGAAATGGTCTCTTACTCTGTGTGGCCTTCACCAAGGGGAGTCTGATTCTGTTTTGGCTTCACGCATGCATGACTACAAGACATGCTGCTTACGATAAGCTAGCATAATATTGGCCCCTGTCAGTGACGTATCACCTAACATTAAGGCTGAAGCTTTTAGTCAGACATTTTTTTTCTTTGTTTAGTCATTCCGGAATTACCTTGCATGAGGTCACAGACTGGCACAGACGGCGCCTCCATTTTACTAGTTACTTCCAATCATGAAGTTAAGTGTCGCTTTGAAGATAGCCTCTCATGCTTGGCAACAAAAGCTAAAAAACGTCAAAGGTCAGAACATTCGGTGCACCTGCACAATATAAGATCTGTATTAAAGAAAAAAAAACATCTTTACCAAGATAATAATGGTCATTTCTGATTGAGACTATGAAATAGCAATTTAGTTGACTTACTGAAGTTCATTATTGTGGTTTTAACTGTTTGGGAACATAGCTTTTAATATTTTTCCTGTTTACGTGGTTAAATATGATAACAAATAAAACAGAAACAGAGCCATATGGTTAACAGTGCAATGGGCGCCCGACAAAGTTTCTTCACGTTCTTTTCAAAGTTTTTAACAAAAAAAAAACACAAAACCCACAAGACAAATCAAAACATATTTACCCAGCCATATGGAGTTGTGAAATATGCCGTTCCTGTAGCCCCATGCTTGCGCTTCTTTGAGAAGCAAGCTCAGCGTCCACAAGACAGCCAAAAGTCGCATGGTGCAAGCTGCTGGCCAGATGTGTGTGTATGAGGGAACCCCCTCAGCTTGGACTGCCGACCCCTATTTATGTGGCCCTTGGAGAGTAGGAAGGAGGAGAAATTAGATGATGATGAGGAGGAGGAGGAGGAGGAGGAGGAGGAGGAGGAGGAGGAGGAGAAGGGGAGTGACTTCAGCAACGGGTGATTGAATCTAAGTATCGCCACCCTTTGAAAAAGAGACGTTCAACTAATGTCATCATCAAGAACTTGTCATTCGTACTCACTTTAGCCTCATCACACTGTTGGACTACAAACATATTATGGTAGTTGAAGCCGCTCCCCAAAAAAAAAGTCACTAATAAAGTTAGATTATTACTATGAAGTCATTTCATACAGTAAAACCTGTGAAGTGGAACGCGATCTAGCTGGCGCTGGTTAACTTCTCACTTGTTTGAATTTCAAATCAAATTTCATGTTAAATTAGCTTGTCATTGTTCAATTAATTTGTAACCGTTGCCAGCATAAAACTTTTCCTTACTGTGCAAGTCATGTTTTTTCCTAACTGTGACGTAAGTGTGACAAAACTAAAGCAAAATGACTCGTCGAGTGGAGTGTTATGACATTGTGGGGTGGAAACATAAAAGAAAAGCAAAACACTTTCAATGAGATGACGTTTTACATGGTTGGAAGAAGACAATCTTGAACTTCACATTTTGGTTGACCTTTGAGGAAATGTATATGTGCTATCTTGTTCATTGTAGTGTATTAGGCCAAACAAAAAAGACTGTGTGTTTCCGGTAACATGAAATTTCAGCATAGGGTCGGTAGGTCAGACAAAGTTTTTTTTTTTAATCTCCCCCCCCCCCATCAAAAATTTAAACAAAATAACCATAAAACATAAAACAAGAAGACATTGAACACGCCTCTCCGCGGCCAGCGCCGCTGCCACCTATTTAGTTTTCTCCCCGCTCCAGACTCGGGGGGCCGGGGGGCGGCCCCGGGCCTCTCCCCTGCCTCCGCCACCGTCCTCCTCCGCCCTCGATTTTTACTCGGCCCATGGTGTTCATCAAATAGTTTGTTGAATTTTTTTCAATACATCAATGGATGCTATTTTCTTAACATTATGGTGCGAGCATGCGACTGTAACACAGAAAACGCGGTTTAAACTATCGTCGGAGATCGCGGCTGCCGCCATGTTTCAATGTTGTTGACAGACGACAGGGCAAACGACGCACGCGCTCAATGTGAATAACCGCGAGAGTTTGCACCGATGTAAACCCTCTACACAAAAATGTAGAAGGTTGTTTGAAAAAAATGCCGACCGGAAAGTTTTTTTTCGACGTAGAAATTCTCGGTCGGTCGGGTTACCGGAAACATACTACTTTTTTTTCTACGCCTTATGACCACCGTAGTCAAATTTTGAGTTGTGCATTGTTAGTGTAGAAGCACGTTGTGCCGCAACTGTATTACTACTGGAAGAGATGTGACAAAATTAAAAGCAAAAGGAAGATGACATCTAGTTCCTTCAGTGTAATAGTTTTTCAGTTTGAATATTCCAAATCCCGCAAAGCAGAGAGAATGCAGGTTTGAACACAGTTGTTTGAAGGTTTATAAATGATACAAACATCTATGCTACGACTCATACAGTATGTGGTTTCACATTGTATGTTAGCATTAACCTATCGTATGCTCGTTAGATTGAATTATCTGTTGAACATTTTGGTGTTTGAATATAAAATGTGTAGTTGTCTTTTGATTTTTCTGTCAGGTTTACAGTAAACCTTGAGTGACATTAAAGCAGATTGAATGAATGAGAAGTACTTATAAAAATGTCTTATGTAATTCTGTAGTGCACTGGTGTCAAAGTCAGGGCGAGTGGGCCAGATCCGTCCCACCACATCATTTTATGTGGCAACCTAAAGAAAATAATGTGTATCAACTCGCATGATCCTTGCTAAAATCTGTACAGCAATGTCAAATTGTCATGTGTAATAAATGATGTCGACATTTTGCAATAATTTTGTAACCCTGTTTACACTCATTCCAACAATAATGGAACAAACAACAAAACAATAGCTGTTTTTAAAGACACTTCACAAGGAAGCAGTGACAGCTCCGATGAAGGCTGAAGTGACACCCGAAACTATCAGCCAGGTAAGAGTTGAAGAGAAACTTCACCAAAAATAGACCATTGCCTGGAAAAAAAAGAAACTTTAAACCTAATTTAACAAACAAATAGTTGAGTGATTTCAAAACTAGTAATCCATCAATTGGTTGTGTACAAGTTAGGCGAAGGGATGATTAAACATTTATTCGCTTTCACTGTCGTAACGGCCCGTCAAGGGAAAACGTATCTCCAAAGTGGCCCGCGACAGAAATTAGTTTTACACCCCTGCTGTAGAGTGTGTTTAAAGCAGATGAGGGGGGTAAAAACAAATTGAAAAGCTTTCATATGATTTCGTCGAAACAGAGATTTTCACCTATTGCGGGCATGTCTGCATATTGCCTACGAAAATACATCCCAAAAAAGATTTGACATGAGAATTGAGGCAATAAGTGTAGGACAACGTGATTACGATGGCGGGTGAGGGCACCTTCCCTCACTCCCCAGACAAATGTCATAGCCGCAGGTCAAACAAAGCAGCTGTAAAACGTGCATCAAATGACTTCCAGATCTGGGAAAGGATGTGTGTGCCCGTCTCATTCCTCAGCACGTCTCTCCCTCTCGCCTTCCCGTCGAGCCCACACATGGAAAGTTGGACTCCGTCACTCCAAACACTTGCATTATAATGATAGAGTCATCGTTCATGGCTTTCTCATGACATTTCTTTGGGGTCTGCCGCTAGGTGTGTGTGTCATGTGTCATGAGTGAACTTTGAAAAAGTACTGATGTCATTTGTGACATCATGCTAACGAAACACATTAAATGAACACTTAGCAGAGGACTTATTGGGCACATGGCAGGGAGGATAACATACTGTATAGAAAAAAAAAAATAAAGCCAGCGGTGGCCAAGTTGTTTTTGGACGGTGGTGAGGTGACATTTTGGGGCTCTTGACAATGATGTAAAACCATCCACAGCAACATGAAACACACTGTTGGGTGACTTATAATATGCACTGCAGGGGATAGGAGTGGCTTTGACATGGTTGGGTGGCTGGAGAATAACACAAAACAGCAAACATCGTAATGGAAGATCTTTGTCTGATTCCCTCACGTTGCTCTCTGTGAGTCAAGTGTGTTAACTGTTACAGAAAATGGTTTGAAATTGCAATTGGCTGGCAACCAGTTCAGGGTGTACCCCGACTACGGCCCGAAGAGAGCTGGCATAGGCTCCAGCACGCCCGCTACCCTCGTGAGGATAAATGAGTTCGAAAATGGATGGATTGAAATTTCAAATAATTACTGTCAGAAGTGGCAAATGTACTCACACTCTGAACCCAAGTCGAAGTAGATACATGTTAAATTAAAAAAAAACTAAAAAAAAAAAACTCTGGCTCCTCTACGATGCTGCCGTCCCCAGGATCTCAACCATGGATGACTTTACCTGTCAGTATGTACGCCTTTTTGGCCATGCTAAGATGTTGAAAAATGTCACAATAATTTTGAAAAAGTCATGGGTACAAAGTACAGATCTCGGTTTTCAAATGCAGGGTTTACAAATAAAAAGTTGTCTTTGGACTTCATTACTGCCCACCACTGCTCTAATATACAATGAACACTGTGACATCCAATATACTGATGTTTTTGAATGTTGGTCAATACAATTTTTTGAATAAGAATGAATGGAAGAAGAAACTATCCATTCTTGGGTCAAAAAATTTAAGTCACCGTAAAAGCCCATTTCTCCATCCATCCATTTTCTAATCGGCTTATCCTCACAAGGGTCGCAGGGCATGCTGGAGCCTGTCCCAGCTGTCTTCGGGCAGTAGGCGGAGGACACCCTGAACTGGTTACCAGCCAATCGCAGGGCACATATAGACGAACAACCGTCTGCACTCACACTCACACCTAGGGACAATTTTGAGTGTTCCATTAGCCTGCCATGCCTGTTTTTGGAATGTGGGAGGAAACCGGAGTACCCGGAGAAAACCCACGCAGGCCTGGGAAGAACATGCAAACTCCACTCAGGGAGGCCGGAGCTGGAATTGAACCCGGTACCTCTGCACTGTGACGTCGACACGCTAAACCGTGAAAGTCACCATATAAAATGTTTTATATAAATGTTGACATCCTTATTTGTCAAATATAGGAAGTGTGTAATGTTGACCACCGGTGATGGGAGTCATAGGCGTGGCAAATAAGGAAATGGAAGGCGTGCAAAAGACGAGTGGATTTCTAAGTTTTTACTGTCATGATTCGTGGTGGTGGAAGACCCCAAAAAGCAGGCAGGAGTTCACAAGATGTATAATAAAACACTGAGAAAATAACATCCAAAAACAAAGTCCTGAAAATAAGAACCAAAAGTACTCAACAACAAAAAAAAAGAGCCCATGGCAGAAACAAAACCCAAACAGAAACACTCACCGAAAAAATGACTCGACACTGAGTGGTCGGCCAGGGAGTCGGTCCTTTTACCAGAAAACCTAATGACATGATGAGCAACAGGTGTGCTGCTGTAGGAGGAGCCCTGCAGTGCCACCTGTTGGTCACAAATAGATCCACGTGCCATTTACATTCAAAATCGATGCTGTCAAACTCATTTTCATCACCGGTCATTTTGAAGTTATGGTCTCGCACAGAGGGCTGGAATGACTGAAAATCATATTTATGCATAATCACCAAAATATATTGTACGCTATCTACAGGGTTGCCCCTCACTGTAGATTTAATAACAAATTGAATTTGAAATTATAACTTGAAAACAGTGGTAATATTATTGTCCCATT